GCCTTTGCCAGAGGGAGCTTTCTCCTGCTGAGGGTCTTCTGTGGCTTCCTCCATCCATGGGATACAGTGCCAGGTCCTTGGGCCAACCCTTGTTCCCATGAGCAGACCCCATCTCTAGGCCAGGGCCCCAAATGCACCTTCCTGGCACCCACACAAGCCAGGCTGAGACACACACAGCTCCCGATGGTGCTGCCCCAGACTCTCAGGGCTGTCCCTGGGATGCCCTCCTCCCCACCTTCACTGGATTCAGAACCCCCTTCCCACCAAGCCAGGTGTCTGGGTCCTACACACTAAGACACTGTCCTTTCTTCCAAGTGGCCAGCGCTCTTCTGTAGCATTCCTGGGGACTTCTCCCTCCCTATCGGCTAGATAGTCATTTGTGCAGATCATTGGCTGGTTCTTGTGTGGCTCCCACAGCACAGGACATAGGGCTGGTATGAAGTCGATTCCGCACAAATCGACTGGCAGAAGGAGGTGAGATTGGGGTCGCAGGCCCAGGTCTCTACTGGCCCCCACACAGGCTGTGGGACCACTGCAAAGGTGGCCCCCTACAGCACCGTCTCTCACCGCAACCGTAAAATTGAGATGACAGCCATTCTATTGGCACAACAAACACTGACCAGCCAAGGGAGCTGCAACGTGCTTTGCGAAGTGTAGAGGGTTCCAGCACCGCGTGCGTTTGTTGTCTCAGTGGCTAAACAGAATGTTGAGTTGATTCAGCATATTTTTCATCCACTGCACCCTCATTCTCATGCTACCAGCTGGGGACTCAGGGCTCAGCTCCCTAACAGAGCAGTGTCCTTGCTCACTGCCTTTCTCCCTCGCCTCACCCATTCACTTGATGTCCTCCTCGGTCACCCCTAATTCCCATGCTGCATGCCTGAAAGAGGCAGGAACTTCACCTCTATCCTTTGGCCAGAGGTTTCTTCCCGCCCACCCTGCCCATGCCAGGGACTCAGCCCAGCATCAGCAGATCCAGCAAACACATCTGTCTAAGGAGGAGTAAGTCCCACATCTCCCGTGCGAAACATCCAAGGAGCTGAGATGGGAAGGTTCTGGGTAAAGCGTTCCCTGAGCCCCCAGACACACCCCGCCCATTTCCATTGTGTATTTGCTGTGGACCTTTGAATTGGAAGGAAAACAGTAAGCTCATAATTCACAAGTCTGCAAAAGTTCTTTCCAGAACATGCACTATCTTAAAATAGTAAAACAAGGACAGTGCCACCACCATCACCTCCTACTACTAATGCTATTAAAACTAAAAGCAATGGCAGCTTATTAACTTACGATTTGCCTGATGCTAGGTTCTGTGCCCAATGCCATGCACTGGGCCTCATCCTCAGGGCTTTTTTCTGTCAACTCAAGAAGTCCCCATAGCACCTCAAGGAGGGAAATATTTTCATTACCCACATTTAGAGATAAGAAAGATAAGGCCCAGAGAGATGAGGGATTCGTCCACAGTCACACAGCTCCTTGGTAGCCAAGTCAGACATGGGGTACGGATGGCCCAGCTCTTTGTTCCTGCACCTGCGGTCTGTTGGAGTAGCTGGGGTTGGTGTTATCAATTGCCGTTGGGCATGTGTATTCACACCCCTCATTTTAGTTCGTAGGTTTATTTAAGGAGCTACCTGTGGGTGTGACAAACAGCAAATGTGGCTGCCTGGAAAGCCCACTGCCAGAGCTAGAGCTGTGTGTGATGAACGTCTGTAGTAGCAAATATGATTCACTGGGGTTCTGATTGTATGTGTTTAACTTACTGTATTTTCTTTTAAGTAGTGCTAATTAGCCATCGTGTAAGCAGCATGTAACAGATGATGCCTTCGAGTGGGCAATATTTAAAGAAATAAACATCTCAGGATGGGTACAGTGGCTCACACCTGTAATCCCAACACTTTGGGAGGCTCAGGCAGGAGGATGGCTTGAGGCCAGGAGTTGGAGACCAGCCAGGACAACATAGTGAGAACCTTGTCTTTATAAAACATAAAAAGTTAGCTGGGTGGGTGCACGCCTATGGTTTTAGCTACTTGAGAGGCTGAGGTGGGAGGATTGCTTGAGCCCTGGAGTTCAAGGCTACAGTAAGCCAAGATCACACAACTGCGTTCAACCGGGGTGGCAGAGTAAGACCCTGTCTCTAAAAATAAATAAATAAATACATAAACATCTCGGCATAATTCCACAGCTTTCTTACAAACTCTCAACAAAAAAATTATTCTAATACTTTGTCTTCTATCTCAGTCGCCACATTCCCCCTTAATGAGGAGTTAATCAAACTTCCTTGGGATAAACTCGGCTGGTCCAGTTTTGAGCACATTTTGAAGTCAAAAGTCCTTGCAGGCAGCTTTTCCTGTCTGCTCATGGCTTTTCTCCAACAAGTCACTCCATGGATTGCGTCCCTGCCATGTGCCTATGTCATTTCTGAACCTTCCATAGTCTGCCCATCGGGGTGTTGAACCACAGGTCAGGTAAAGAAAACGGGCTTGGAGTGAAGGAGTGGATCTGTGGCCATGCTACCAGTTGGAAAGAAAGACTGACTTTGCACCCCACCCGGAACTCCCAGTCCTCTTTCAACCTCAGCCACGAGATGAGCATCACCATCTCTAAATGTTCCCCATTAAGAAAGAAAGAAAGCAGACAGGACCAATGGATCTTTGTGTTTTCCTTTCGTTAATCTACTTCTATTTCTCCTGCCTCTCACAAAAGCTGACATGGAGATTGCGGCCCTCCACTTGTGTCTTTATGTGAATAATTTGAAACACCAGCACTGTCTGTTTCAATTGGAAAGGAGGCATTTTCTGCCTCTTAAGAAAAAGTCCTTCTGCCCAGCTCCCTGCTCGCGGCTGCTAATGCTCACATCCTCACAATTCTACCGCTCTGAGCTGCCTCCGTGTCAGACCCCCGAGGGAATAGTCCAGATGCTTTTGCCAAACATTTTGGCAACTGGACCCAGGTTTCCAACAGAAGATTAAAGTACCGTCTTCACTGCTGGGCTGGCAGGTACGTTCTTTCTTGGCCTTCGGAGTGCTCTTACATAATCTCAGGATGAATCTAATCTTGTTTCTGAGATGATTTTTTTTCTCCAACAGACAGGTTACCTATGGAGCATGATATAGACTTGATTTTGCCCAGACAAGCCACTGAGCATTTAATGAGTGCCTGCTGTGTGCAAAACACTGAGGATCAAAGGGACACCACAGACCCTCTTTGCCCAGAATCACAAAAAGAGTGGGTGGCAGTAACTTTATCACAGAAAAAATTTTTTCATCTGGTGCTTGTAAAGAGTTTGGGAGGTAGATGAGACTGGGATCATCTTGTCTGTTTGAAAGCTGGGTAAGCAGAGGCCAGGGAGCTGTGAAGCAGCGTTGACTAGCAGATGGGGCAGGCCTCAGGTCTCCTTACTCCTGTCCAAGCCCCATCCCCACGTCCCCCATGGCGGCTGGCCGCCCTCAGGAACAGACGGTGAGTAGGATGGACGTTCCTTATAAGAAATGACCTCTCAAAATGTGCTGTCCACCTGAGGAACAGGATTGTGGCATCCTTTTTTTTTTTTTTTTTTTAAGACAGAGTCTCGCTGTGACTCCAGAGGCTGGAGTGCAGTGGCACAATCTTGGCTCACTGCAACCTCCACCTTCTGGGTTCAAGCAGTTCTCCTGCCTCAGCCTCCCTAGTAGCTGGGACAACAGGCAAACACCACCACACCTGTCTAATTTTTGTATTTTTAGTGGACACAGGGGTTTCACTATGTTGGCCAGGCTGGTCTCAAACTCCTGACCTCAGGTGATCCATCTGCCCTCAGCCTCTCAAAATGCTAGGATTACAGGCATAAGCCACCATGCCTGGCCTTATGACATTCTTTTGAGGAACAACAAAAGTCACGTCCCTACATTGGCTTAGGCAAGGATTTCATGACCAACGACCCAAAAGCAAATGCAATAAAAACAAAGATAAATAGTTGGGACCTAATTAAACTAAAGAGCTTTTGCATGGCAAAAGGAACAGTCAGCAGAGCAAACAGACAACCCACAGAGTGGGAGAAAATCTTCACAATCTATACATCTGACAAAGCACTAATATCCAGAATCTACAATGAACTCAAACAAATCAGCAAGAAACAAGCAAGCAATCCCATCAAAAAGTGGGCTAAGGATATGAATAGACAATTCTCAAAAGAAGATATAGAAATGGCCAACAAGCACATGAAAAACACTCAACATCACTAATCATCAGGAAAATGCAAATTAAAACCACAATTATTCAAATCAAATACCATCTTATTCCTGCAAGAATGGCCATAATCATATAATCAAGAAACAGAAGTTGTTGGCATGGACGCGATGAACAGGGAACATTTCTACGCTGCTGGTGGGGATGTAAATGAGTACAACCACTTCAGAAAACAGTGTGGAGATTCCTTAAAGAACTAAAAGTAGAACTACCGTTTGGTCCAGCAGTCCCACTGCTGGGTATCTACCCAGAGGAAAAGAAGTCATTATACGATAAAAATACTTGCACACGCATGTTTATAGCAGCACAATTAACAATTGCAAAATCGTGGAACCAACCCAAATGCCCATCAATCAATGAGTGGATAAAGAAACTGTGGTGCATATAGATATAGATATAGATATATAGATATATATGATGGAATACTAGACAGCCATAAAAAGAAATGAATTAACAGCATTTGCAGCAACCTAGATGAGATTGGAGACTATTATTCCAAGTGAAGTAACTCAGGAATGGAAAACCAACATAGTGTGTTCTCACTGGTACATGGGAGCTAAGCTATGAGGATGCAAAGGCCTAAGAATGATACAATGTACTCTGGGGACTTGGGGGGAAGAGTGAAAGGGGGATGTGAAAGACTATAAATATGGTTCAGTGTGTACTGCTTGGGTGGTGGGTGCACAAAAATCCCACAAATCACCACTAAAGAACTTACTCATGTAACCACATGCCTCCTCTACCCCAATAACTTATGGAAAAATAAAATAAACAAATAGGCCGGGCGCGGTGGCTCAAGCCTGTAATCCCAGCACTTTGGGAGGCCGAGACGGGTGGATCACGAGGTCGAGAGATCGGGACCATCCCGGTCAACAAGGTGAAACCCCGTCTCTACTAAAAATACAAAAAAAAAAAAACTAGCTGGGCGTGGTGGCGCGTGCCTGTAATCCCAGCTACTCAGGAGGCTGAGGCAGGAGAATTGCCTGAACCCAGGAGGCGGAGGTTGCGGTGAGCCGAGATCGCGCCATTGCACTCCAGCCTGGGTAACAAGAGCGAAACTCCGTCTCAAAAAAAAAAAAAAAAAAAAAAAAAAAAAAAAAAAAAAAAACAAATAAAATTTAAAAAGTCACACCCTGGTCTTTATTTGCTTTCCTGGCATTTTGCATTTTCCGTGCTGGGATTCCATTCAGGCCAGCTCTGTTGAAGGGGCTCGCTGGTTGGCAGGGATTGTGCCCACACGTGGCGCCACCTCCCTTAGCTCCTCTGGCCCTGCCTTCCTCCTTACCCCGTGTGCTTTATTCCTCCTTTACACAGGTAGGGCGTTTTGATGTGACTTCCTGGAGGTCATGTGTAGCGTCGGGGGAATCTTTCTTTTGCTTCCGACCCAGCTGGTGTACTGACTGAGGCTGCAGGGTCCTGAGCCAGATTGTGTCGGCACAGGACAGCCATCTCTGGGCCTTCCTCTTCTGCTCATACAGGAGCCCCCGGGAAGAGGGTGCAGTGTGCTCCCCTGAGAGCTACGCTGGTTGGAGGATACTCTAGCGTCTTACAACATTCCCTTGGAGATTCCAATGTGCACCTCCAGTGGAGAATTTGGCCTTCCGTTGCTGTTGTTTCATGCCATGATTACTACTGAAGGCAATTTTGCCAAGTAGAGGAGAGGAAGTTTAAAAATAAACCAAAAGGACCCTCTTAGGGAGGTGAACATGCTTGCCATTGCCCTGGCCCCCCACTTCACTCCAGGATGCGTGTGCTCACTGAGGGAGAATGATGCTCAATTTCGCTTTTATTCCTTTTGTCCTGTCCTCTTAGCCGTCGTCACCAAACCCTCCCAAGCCCCCCACCTCTGACTTTGCCTTTCTCTCTCTCTTCCTCCAAAATAAGGATTACTCTTGGTACCTCTGGCTTCCAACCTGACCCCCTGGCATGTAGTAGGTGCTCAGTAAAATGTCGGTTTAGCCAATGAATGAGATAACAATTGAACAAACAAATTCCCCACCCATCCTCCTAAGGCCCAGAGCCTTTCTCTGCTCAGTGGAAAGGAATTTAATCTGATTAGGAGGCTGCTGGCCCACATAGGGGACACCCATTTGGTTCCAATAACACTGCTAAATCACTTCAAAGATGCTATCGAGTTAATTGGGGTAGAATAAATACTAATTTATGACAACCTTTGCCAGCTGTTCCCTAAGGGAAAATTTTAAAATTTCCTATCCTCTTTGCTTTGCTTGACTGCTGAGATTCAGTGAGACTGATCTGAACTTCTCATAGCTGAACCAACAGAGGCACAGCCTTCTCCCCCTTATCCTACCTCAGGAAGCCACAGCCAGGCAGAGAAGCCCCGCAGGTACAGCCAGGGAGGTGGGGCATCTCAAACTGGCCTTGGCTCTTTCTCTTTGAGCTTCTTAGCCATCCTGCTCTGTGCCTCTCTGGGGCTTGTCCCAGTCCCCTGAGTTCTCACCATGGATCGTGGGATGCATGTGGAGGACAAGATCCCCAGGGCCCTGGACCACACCATCTGAGCCTTGCTGTCCCCACAGGGCAAGTGCTCCCTCCATTATTGCTAATCTAAGATGATGTGCTCTGATGAGACTGCGTTTTCTCTCTCTGCGTTGTGCTCAGTTACTATGGCAACACTTTCAGAAGAGGTGAATTTGCTTTTTCCTCTAAATTCTATAATGCTCTCAGACTTTCCAAAAATACCTTTATTTCCCTGGGTCCTACTGTGGGTCTAGGCTTGTCGAACACACAGAAAACTGGTCCGTCTCCTCCACCATGTATGTACCACATCGAGTAGTTCAATGCACTGAAGTTACCTGAGTAAACATTTTTTTAATAAAAAAAATGTTTCTAGCATCTGCTCTATGTCAGTAGATGTGCTAGACACTGGGATTCAAAGAGAACTTAGACTCACCTCATATCCTTAAAGAGCTCACAATCCCTAAGAAAAACAGAGAAATATACAGCTAACTATAATGTAAAATAAGTACACATGTATCTATAAGGTAATGTGACATAACATAGTATATTGTAACATAATTTTAATACACTGTACTATAATACATGTAATGTAATAAATACAGTATAATGTAATAAATATTTTGTCAGTTCTAGGAATAAATTAGCGTAGGACCCCAGTAGAGAAAGCTGTTAATTCAGCCTGGAGTGAGGAGAGTTAGGAGTCGGTAGATCTAGATTTTGATTCCTGATCAATTATATATGAGCTGTGCCAGTTCAAGGAAGTGAACATCCCTCTCTGAGCCATCTCATGCTGAGCCCTTGTGAAAATTAGGGGACACCAGCCAGTCCCAGTTACAGCAGCCAGTCCCAGAGCAGCTGTTACTCCAAAGATACTGCGTCTCCCTGCCCAGATGCTGGGGTGCCCAGAGGTGCTCAGGGGAAAAATTGAGCACAGACGGAGGGACCTGCAGGCAGTGGAGGGGCGGGCCAGCACTTCTGTCAAAGGCAGTCGCGCCAGCAGCAAGGTGGCTGCCTGAGCTCACCTGGCATGTCAGTACATGGGGATATAGGAAAGCCAGTGTGGCCAATGCATGGGGACTGGATCTGAAGCCATTGTCATCCCTGGGCTCTGGGTGGGATCCCTTCTGAGAGCTTCCGCTGAACCAGAAAGATAGCACAGTGGGAAAATGCTCACAGGGGAGGCACCAAGACAAACATGAACATTGCTCTAAAAATTAGCGTGCGCTCGGTGCAGGTCCCAGTGTCACTGTGCCTGGTCACATTTGGAGTGCTGTAGGCATACCCTCTACCTTCCCTGCCAGCTTAGGTGCCCTTTGAAGGAAGGAAGCAGCCCTCTTTTTCCTGCACAATGTTAGCACATGGAAGTGGCCACACAGGGGTTCCAGAGGGTTGTGTCTTCTTTACCATGTGTGCCTGTGTCCTTGCCTGTTAAACAAGGGTGACAATAGCACCCACCCCATAGGGTTGCAATAATAAAACCCAGTCACGCCTATAAGTGCTCAGCTCATACTTGGCATAGAGCAGGCCCTCAATAAATATTGCTTTCATTTTTATTTCATCTACCTCACTGTAAATTGAAGACTCTCCAGCGTGGAAGCATTAGCCAAGGAGAGTGGCAAGTACTGATATCCAGTAGCAAATCTTGCCCTTAACTGCAGACTGAATGGGCAAACAGCCCAAAAAGGGTTGGTAGCTCCCTGTGCGTTGGAAACCCGAATGAAAGTGCAAAATTATGGGTTTTTTCTTTTCTTCTTCTTCTTTTTTTTTTTTTTTTTTGCAAAACAGCCAGATTTGGAGAACAATTCTCTGCAGGATGTCACCTCAACGTGTTGCAGGGCTGGATGAATTTAATGAGAAACGCTTTGGGGTTTGGGGATCGGAGGAGGCCTGGGCACCATTCCCAGGTGTGTGATGTGAGTGATAGGCAGGGTGCTCCATGCCCCATCCAGCGGTCACTCACTGCAGATGCATGGGAGCTGGTTCCAGCCTTCAACCTCCCTGTCTGTAGAAAGAGGCAGACCCAACCCGCTGATACCCTCTACAGGGAGTAGAAAAGGATTTCTTACTTCCAGATGAGACCAAAGAGCTCTCTATTTCCACCTCCATCTTTAGGAGCACACGGACCATGTAGTGAGCAGCAGCTGCTTAATACCCCTGTGAGAACAGCATGGCCACATTCATCAGCAAAACCCTGTGCACCTGGCTTCTCTGCCAAGTTCTGCCCATTAGCTGTCACCTGGGGCACATGCTGTGTTCCAGGCACCATGCCGAGCACCAGGGGACCGTGATGGTTCATTTAAGGTGTCAACTCGGCTGTGCCCTGGGGTGCCTGGATTCGGGTGTCCATGATGGTGTTTCTGGATGAGGATAGCATTTGAATCCGTGGACCAAGCAAAGTAGATGGCCCTCCCCAATATGGGTGGCATCAGCCAGCCCACTGAGGGAGAAGGAAGGTGGAATTCGTCCCTTTTATCTCCTGCCTGCCTGCTTCATCCGGGACATTGTCTTCTGCTCTTGGACTGGGTTTTACCCCCTTGGCTCCTCTGGTTCTCAGGCCTTTGGAATTAAGAATGAATTATGCCACCAGCTTCCCTGGGTCTCCAGCTTGCCGACGGCACATGGTGAGATTTCTCAGCCTCCATAATTGCATAAGCCAATTCTTCATAATAAATCTCTTTGTGTGTGTGTGTGTGTGTGTGTGTGTGTGTGTGTGTGTGTGTGTGTATAAAATCTCTTAATATACGTTATTGGTTCTGTTTCTCTGGAGAACCCAGACTCATAGACTAATACAGATTTGGTAGAGACTATTGATTTCTATAATCCTGGAATCTTGCAAAATATACCATGATACTCAGGCAGTTTGAATTCAAGTTCTGGTTCTTTGGAAATATTTAAACCATCAAAGCCTCATTTTTAATACCTGTGTGGTGGGAAGATGCCACCTCCACCTCCCTGTGAAGCACACCATGATTTTCCAGGGCATGCATGCGGTGTGCACGAAGCTGGCAGCCCGGTTTGGAGCTGGGGCGGTCAGTGTGGGCAGGCAGGTGGCTTTCGAAGGCCTCAGCCTCCTCCACTGGCCTCAAAGGCCCAGGCTCAGAGACTGATACATGCCCGTGGCCTTCCATGAGTTGCTTGTGTAATGGAATTGAAGACCTTGATGATGAGGGGTTGCACACCACAAAATCCTGCTTTTCTGTTAAGTTTTAAAGAACCTCAATGTGTACTGTTTTAGAGAGGATGGCTTTCTACTGTGAGATCCCTTCTTCCCAGCAAACACCAACCAAACTTTATTTTTTAAGGCTGGA